GCCACGTGGAAAGTGTGCTCTACGCCTCTCCCATACGCCAGCTGTGCACGTGCTTCGTAGGCTGAACTTGCAGTGTGTTCCTGTTGCTTGGCTCTAGGCAGGACACTGGATCTTTCAGGTACTAAGAATGACTAAAAAGCCAGTGTCCTCACCTGTCTCTTCCCTGTCCCCTGAGTTCACAGACTGGCTCAGGACCAGACCCTTTGGGAACTGTCATGTTAGTCATTTTTTGTAACTTGTTGAGCTGCATTACAGGTATCCTAATTCCTTGGAGTTTTACTAGACAGACACAGTGAAAACCATAGTATCGCATGTGGTTTGAACTAGTAAGTCATCAGTGAATTAAAAAAATTGATTTAATGGTCATGAATGGTGACCACACACCTGTAATCGCAGCAGTCAGGAGACCGAGACAGGAGGATCACTGAATTTGAGGCCAGCCTGGGCTATATAGTGAGTTCAAGGCCAGTCTGACTACACATTGAGGCCCTGTTGCAAACCTAGGAAAAAAATAAAATTAAAGGTGGAATTTTAGCCAGGCTTGGTGGCACATGCCTGTAATCCCAGCACTCCGGAGGCTGAGGCAGGAGGATCACTGTGAGTTTGAGTCCAGCCTGGGCTACATAGTGAGTTCGAGGTCAATCTCAACTACATAGTAAGACCCTGTCTCAAAAAACCAAAGGAAAAAAGAAAAGAAAAAAAATAAAGAAAGGTGGAATTTTAAAGTCTGTTACATTCAGCTAAGCCTTCAATTTTCATACCAGAAAACTAGTGATACTCTAGATGATGTAAATGATGTGACTTATCCTTAAAATGAAGCAGTAAACCAATTAGTAAAATGAAATTATTTTTATAAATATAAGCCTTGGAAAATTGAAGGGCTCTTAAAATAAATCACCGTTAGTCAAAAATGATATATAAAGGCTGGGGATTTAGCTCAGTGGCACCATGCCTGCCTTGTAAGCACGAGGTCCTGAGCTCAATCCCTGGTGGGGTTGGCGGGAGATATCTAAAATCTGGCGTTAAATTCTTGTAAATCTTCCTTCCAGCCTCAACAGTCATGTAAATTTGCTGTTTAGAAGGGCAGGTAAGCTATGCAGTCACTGTGATATGCGGTAGATGTCTTGCTGAATGGGCCTTCACAGTCTAGCAGATTAGACATGATTCTTTGGTTTATTCACTGAGTGATAAATGAGCATGTATCATGGGAATGAATGAGAACTGCATTCTCTTTAGATCCGAGTGTAACATGTCTTTAGTGATTATGTCTTCTCATCTTTGTCATATTATAGGTCATTAGTATGGTTTCCGTGTACTTGAGCTCTCCGCGGTTTATAAGTGCCCTGCTCGGCAGTTTTAATAGTATATACTCATTTGGTGAAATACATTTTTGTGCTTTTGTGTTTATGGGTAAGAAATTATTTGGATGTGTAAGTCCTTGAAGACAAGATAGCTGTAACTTTGTGAACGTTAGTGTGTGAACCATCAGTGCACATTGAAAATGCCAGTTTCCTCCATACAGTCTTCTCACTTCTGTTCTTCTGTCCCTGACAGATAGTTCCCTTTCTCTTGAATGCAGTATGACATTGCTTTCCTTTTTGTTTGTGGTAAGGATCTGTGATGACTTTACCACCAGAGGAAGCAGCTGCACGCAGAATATCTTTTCTATTAACTGTGTTTCTTATGACCAGCTGCCAATAATTTCAACATTCATTTTCACAACTTATGGCACAGTGGAAATTTTCTTTGCCTCACCATATGTAGGGTGAATGGTCAGTGATAGTTTACAGATGTCTGCTGCTTAACTGTCTCTGTGCCTCGGTTTTTAATTTAAAAAGTGGGGACAACGAAGTTCCCATATCAAAACAGTCTAGTGAGAACGAAGACATAAAGGTTTTTAGTATTGGCCGCCGTCGTCATCAATGAGTGGTAGGCGGCAGTTGCCCTTTCATGCCCCTGGAAAATGTTTTACTCTAGTACCTTTAAGTTGTAGTCTCATTTGGACTGAGATAGGAATGATAGAAATGCGGATTCTTCTCAGATATCTTATTTGATTGAAGCATCCTGAGTGAATGCACACTAACTTTTAACCGGGATTAATTACGGCGGGAGGGAGTGTCTTTCAGTAAACTTCTTAGTATGTAATTGCGCACAAATAGTGGTTATACCTCCAGATTCCCCTCCAGATTTGTGTCTAACCAAAAGTTCTAGTTAGCCCAGCTTAGAAACAATCATGTTGGAAGTTCAAGTTCAGTACTGTATTTTACCATCAAGGGTGCCAGATGGGGTTTGCTGGGGAAAGCCCTGAATGCAAAGATCCTGAGATAGGACAGTGCAGATATAAAAACTGGGAGAAGAACATAAAACGTAAAGTTATTAACAATATATTGTTATTTTTTTTCAACTTTATTACATTTTCATTTTTTTAGAATAGGAAGGAAACATCAAATAAAATAATAAGATACTCATGTTCTTTCCCACAGAGTTAAACAGATGTTAGTGTTTTTATTTGTTTTATAGCTTTCTTTTCTGGAGGAGGAAATGTAAGATATAGCTCACATCCCGTGCCCCTTTCTTCATGTCATCTTCTTTCGTTCCCTCAAACATGTGCCATTTTCTTTGTATTTTTATCCTATGCGTATGTACCTGTGACTATACTTTATTTTGGTGTGTAAAATGTTTTTGCAGTGATGAAGCTCAATGTGTGAAGGGCTGGGAATTTAGCTCAGTAGCACCGTGCCTGCCTTGCAAACGCAGTCTTGAGTTCGATCCCTGGTACCAAATGAATAACATCAACATCAACAACAACAAAAAAGTCTATTTTCTATTATCTACCTTTGCTGGGAATGTAGCTCAGCGGTGCCACCACCTGCCTCATAAGCTCAAGGTCCTGAGTTCGATCTCCGGTAACAAAAACAAACAAACAAACATAGCTTTATCTTTGGGCCAGTACCAAGCCTGCCTCATACGTGCATGAGTTCGATCCCTGGCACAAAAAGAAAGGAAAGGGGACGGAAGGGGAGGGCAGGGGAACAGGGAGGAAAGGAAGGAAGGAAGGAAGGAAGGAAGGAAGGAGGAAGGGTATTAGTGAAGTGGACATTGTCCTGTTAGCATATTGTTCATAAAAGAAATTGAAGTGGGATATTCTCCTGTGAACACTTTATGTGAGTCCTTCTTTCCTGGCATTCTTGCCAGCACTTATTCTTAGATTTTTATGTTTTTGTCAGCCCCCCTCATTCCATTGAACTCAGGGCCTTGTATGTACTACATAAGTGTTCTACCACTAAACTACATTCCCAGACCTTTTGCTTCTTGTTTGTTTATTTGTTAAAACGGGTCTCACTGTGTATTCCAGGTTGGCCTGGAATTCACTAAGTAGCCTAAGGCTGGCTTCTAACTGCCGGCTATCCTCAGTTATAATTTACCTAAACACATTCTCATTTAATCTCACCATAATCCTGGGAGTTAAGTATTATTGTTACCTGTTTTACAGATGGTGAGGTGGATTTTAAGGAGATAAACTGACTTGCTTAAGGTCAACCAGTGTTTTAATTGCTAGAGTCTGGATTAGAACCCATACCCGTCTGACTCCGAAGCCTAAGGTGTTGGTGTGTTAGCACATTGCTTCTCTGGGTATTTCCACAGTAAAGTCAAATTGGAGAAATTTTAGTTTACTGATCTTTAAAAATTACTAAGAAGAATTACTGATCTTTAAAAATTGCTAAGAGTTGCCATAGTAAGAGAGCCACAACAACAGTTGGATTCATTCACATAGTACAGTGATTCTGTTTTTTGCACCTGCTTTTAGAGCATGTGCACTGTTAATATGTGTGGACATTAACTTGTTTAAAGAAAAGAAAACCACTTTTAAGGCTGGGGATTTACCTCAGTGATTCCGCCACCTGCCTCGCAAACACAAGGACCTTGAGTTCGATCTCCGGTACCAAAAAAAAAAAAGAAAACCACTTTTATATATTATATACCTGTCTCTACAGCAGTTGTCCTGCTTAACACAAAGTTGGTGTGATAAGTCTGGTTCAGCCAGCTGTGGCAGCCCATGCCTATAATCCCAGCACTCAGGAGGCTGAGGCAGGAGGATTGCTGCAAGTTCAGTGCCAGTCTGGGCTACATAGTGAGTTCAAACCAGAATTACAGAGTGAGACCCGCTCTCAAAAAAACAAAAACTAAGGGCCAGGGATTTAGCTCAGTGGTGCCTCCCTGCCTGGCAAGTGCAAGATCCCAAGTTTGATTCCTGGAACCAAAAAAGAAAAACAAACAAACTAAAACAAAACAAAACAAAAAACCTCGTCTATGTGTTAGATTCAAATATGTAACATGAGCAAATTGTGACAGTGACCAACACTGAATATTTACCCTCAGTGAGATGTGAACTGGACAATGGATAAGGTTAAAATTATTAATTAAACTGTGTGGTGGCATTACTGTTGGTGGAAGACAGGAGAGAGACCGAGACATTAAAAATGTATGCACTTTAGCCCCTGAGCAGTAACTAAAGCTTTTTTAAGAAATTTCACATTTTGAGTAATACCAAAGGTTGGAGCTCAGGACCTTCACACTGAGCTGCATCCTCAGCTCTGTTTTTTAATTTCTTGAGGCAAGGTCTCAGTTTCTAAACTGCCCAGACTGGTCTTGAATTTTCAGTTCTCCTTCCTCAGCCTTCCAGGGAGCTGGGGTTACAGGTGTGTACCCCCCCCCAGCTTTCTCACCTCAGAATCTTAGCTATGATTTATACTTTGGCTGTTGTAGAGTTATATTTTGGTAAAAGGACTTATGAATTCTCTTTGTTGCATTTATTAATACAAACTGGATCCTTGGAATTTAGTGGAGTGTTCTTGTTAGGAGCTATTAGAAATGAAAGTTTCCATTACAGTTCTTGCTAGCTGCCATTGACACCAAGTGACCATCATGTGTAGACAGTTGAGAGTCTGAGGAGGAGATAACAAAGGAGAAATGGCTAATAGATTTATTTCTTCTTTCAGACTGGTCGAATTGACAAATCCTACCCAACAGTCTGTGGCCACACTGGACCAGTGCTGGATATAGACTGGTGCCCACACAATGATCAGGTCATTGCCAGTGGTTCGGAGGACTGCACGGTTATGGTAAGCACCCAGGGAACTGCGTGTGTGTGGGCCAGCGAGACTCGCCTGCAGCCCTGTCTTCTCTCCCGCTCTCTCTCTCCAGCACTTTGGCTTTTATCTGTTGGATTATCAAGGATTTAGCTACATAAAAGCTTAACTATAAACGCACCTTTTACAGCCCCTTTTATCAACAGGTTGTACTCGGTTGTCTTTGCTCTTCTTTTGTGTGAATGTATACCTGCATGTGATTATTGACAGTTTGCTTCTGTTCTGTGTGAAGACTTAAGGGAAATTAAAATGACTTTCTAATAATTCTGTGAATACGGTTTGACTGCATGCCCTCCTATACCCCAAAAAGGACAGAAAATACTGCTGTTACAAATTTCATGTTACAGTGCTATAAGATGCCAGCAGTTATGCAGATAAAATGGGATATGTAATAGGTATTGAGATACTAAAAGTTTTATTGCATGCTTATCTCCAAGCTAATGTCAGACGGTGTTCTGTTCAGTGGACCTTGTTTATGAAAGTGCATTTTATTTTATTAATTAGTTAATTAATTATTATTATTATTATTATTATTATTATTATTATTATTATTATTTATTTTTATTTTTTGGTTAAGGCAGAGTCTCCCTTTGTACTTCAGGCTGGCCTCAAACTCTTTGCAGTCCTCCTGCCTCAGCCTCCTGAGTGCTAGGATTACAGGCCTGCACCACTACACCTGGCATGAATGTCTGTTTTTATGAAGAGAAACAAAACTTCCCTCATTTAGATTCCAAAGTGTAGCATCTATAAAGGCAGACTTTAGGATACTTTGGTGGGAGCAGTTAGTGTCTTGCTATGTTGCCCAGGCTGGCCTCAAACTCTTGGGCTCAAATATCTGCCTGTCTCAGCCTCCTGAGTAGCTGGGACTACAGGTGGGCACCAGCTCAAGAGTACTTTTTAATGTAAAGCTTCTTGTTGTCTGTGATCTTTACCTTAAAATAATGTTTATCAATTTGGATAAGTTTTTTTGTTTGTTTGCTTGCTTGTTTTGGTACCAGAGATTGAACTCGGGGCCTTGCACTTGTGAGGCAGGTAGCATCACCACCAAGCTAAATCCTTGGCCCTAATATGGAAAAGTTTTTATATTTGCCAAATTATGTTATAAAGGTTATACAAAAACGAGATTTCAGGGGAGTGCTGCTGCCCCAGAGATGAGTGAAGATAACCCCTAATTTTCTGAGTATTCTCACACATGACAAGTAGAAAGCTCTGCAAGGACACTACTTTTTGGGGGGTACTGGAGATTGAACCCAGTACCTTTCTGCTGAACTAACCCCCCATTATTTTTTATTTGGAGACAAGGTCTCACTAGTTGCCCAGGCTAACTTGCTGTCCTGCCTCACCCTCCCAAAGTACTGGGATTATAGGCATGCGTCATCACAGGTAGTGAGCATCACTACTTTTATATTCCTTTTTGTTGGCTGTGGACCAGCACATTGTTTGGAATGCTATACTCATTAAATTATTTTACATAAACAAATTAATTCCTAACTGTGTTATTTAAACATCTACCCACTTTTCCTCATGGGCTGAGGATGACTTCTCCTATGATCTCATAATTTTGGCAGCTAAAACATATTAAAGAAATATGCTGCTGCTAAAAGGAACTGTTCTGTTTAATGTGCCCTGCTAAACTGATCTTTTTAATGGCTGCAGACACATTTTGCTAAAGGAAAGGAATGTCATTTAGACCTGATGCCGGAATCTTCAGCTCAGAGTCTGAGCTGCTTTTGAAGAGGCAGGTTTAATCTACCTTGTTCTGTCCCTGGCTACAGACTTTCTGTTTTGGGTTTTTTTTTTTCCGGTACCAGGGATTGAACTCAGGTCCTTATGCTTGGGAGACAGGTGGTGAAACCACTGAGCTAAATCCCTGCAGACTTCCTTTAAAAATACAACAGCAGCAAAAATGGTGAAGGAGAGTGAAGCAGGAGAATTGCAAGTTTGAGTTCTGTGTGGTCCATCTAGCAAAACTTTGTCTCAAAATAAAAAGGGAATGAAGCTCAGTGGTAGAATCCCCACCCCACCCCCGCTCATTCAATCGCTGGTTCTGCAAGAAAAAACCTAAAAACCTAAAACACAAGTCTTTATATTGTAAAACACAGAAAAGCACACCAAAGACTTAAATGGTTCAAGTGACAAAATGAACCGTGTGAGTTGAATAGCACCAGCCCCAAGTCAAGACCTAGAACTTCCTCCTCACCCGTGTACTCCATGCTTGCTCTCTATGCCTCTCTGCCATCACAGCCCCTCCTAACAGCTGCTGTCCCAGCTGTTAGTACACTCACTTCCTTTCCTCTCTTTAAGGCATTCGTCAACCAAGAGATTATTAACTTAGTCTTACCAATTAAAAAAACTTGCTATGTCCCCTTTTAAGTTGCTCTAAATCCCTTTTCCACCCTTACAGTGTTCTGACCCTTGGCCTGTCTTTTCAGCTGCCCGTGTCCCACGGTGTGTCCACTGTGCTGTTTGTCTGAATTTCCTGCAAACTGACAGCTGAATCCAGAGGTGTGGGATTCAGCTTCAGTCTCTTGGGAAAGACTATTGCTAGTGTTGGTTCTTCTGTCAGGAGATAAGTGATACATAGTTTTTGTTTGTTTTTTTGTGCAGCTACTGGTACTTAATGCCCAGATTCAGTAATTCATTATGGGTCAAAAATGAAGATTAAATTATGGATAGATTGATTGATTGGTACTGGGAATTGAACCCAGTGGCTTTGCCCTGAGCTACGTGCCCACTCCCTCTCTATTTTTTGAGACAGGGTCTCACTAGTCATTAATTGCCCAAGCTGCCCTTGAACATGTGATTCTCTTGCATCAGCCTCTAGAGTGCTGGGATTACAGGTGTGGGCTACCATGCCTGACTAGAATTTGTTACGGTACAGGATACATTGCCACAAACCTCCCTCCTTTGGAAGCCACTTATTCCAGTGTTCTTGCTGCTTTCTGAGGCAGTTTTGGAAGTCTTCTTTAAATCACCTGTTGATTACTTATCCCTAATACAATGTAAATGCTATGTAAATAATTCTTATGCTGTATTCTTGAGGGGATAATGACACAATAAGCATACACATTTGTTCAACACGGATGCCGGTTATTCCTTTGAATTTTTGATCTACCATTGATTGAGGCCTCGGATGTGGAACTCTTGAGTATGGAGGGTCAACTGGGTATTGTTTGATTTTTCTTTTGGCAAGCGTTGCTGTTAAAGCCAAATAGTAATCTAATTTTCTTTCCCTTTTAACCATATATAACTCTATACTAAATATTTGTAGTTTTTGTTGCTGTTGTTAAAATGTAGTTTTGATTTTATCAGAAATCATTGGCCATTCAGCATTGAACATATATATATGTGAGGACTGAATTGATATATGTGATGTGCTTTCTCTTTTTTTGGTACCAGGGATCAAACTCAGGACTCGGGTCCTTGCACTTGCGAGGCAGGCGGTGGCACCACTGGGCTAAACCCCTCCGCCCTATGATGTACTTTTTCAATAAATAGTTTCAAGTGTTTTTTTTTTTTTGGAAAATTTTCTCAAATTACAGATTTTGGTATGTGTTCTGTTCCTTCACTTTGGGTTTCTTCTTCAGGGACTTCTGCTGTCCATATACTTTGTCTTCAGCTTTGTCTTTTTCTAAAACTCTTCATTGTTTTAGAGTTTTGGTTTTTTTTTTCTTTTACTTCTTACTTATTTTTTTGAAGGAGAATTTTTCTTACTTTTACGATAGAAGACTTAACAGTGTACTTTTAGTCTAGCTTAGTGGGAAGTACTGTAGCCTTTGCCTTTTCCAGCTGGGCGTTCAGGACACAGATCTGGGGACAGAAGCATTTCCTCCCCGTGGTGGATCTGTCGTTGTGATTGGTGCTGACAGCTTCCACCAGGTTAGCCTTCGTGCCCTGGTTTCCAGGTGACCCGTGTGAAGGCAGCCGTGGTGCGGGTCTTCCTGTGGACTGGACAGTGCAGTCTGGCCTTACAACACAGGTCAGGCAGGAAGACAGACCAGATCAGCGGTCCCCACTGGCTGAGCCTTGTTTTCCACCAAAGCGATGACACTGTTAATCCCGTGGAGACATATTTTACTGGCAGCTTGCTTTTTAGCTGAAGCCAACAGTTTCTCTTGCTTCTCTTATTTGTCCCTGCTGTGGTTTTAGGGTCAGCTTAAGAAGTAGTTGGGTAGCTTTTGGCAGATTAGGCCTGGGTGCACTGGTTCATTGCAGGTGGCTCTTCTGGGAAGTTATAGAGTATCCCTTTGCTGCTACAGCTGTACATAGCAGCGCTGTGAGATAGAACGGGTGAGATCCCTTTTGGGCTGGATGTCCTGGCCAATGCCAAAAAGTTCAGAACTCTTCTCAAATGGATGATTTACAGCATTGGCTGCCTCCTTCTTCACCACAGGTAAGGTTGGGGCTCCCTTCTTTCCTTTCTGCATCTCAGGCAGCTGGAGGAGAGAGCTGTCTCTTGGGCACATTGTTGTGTTTATTTGCATTTATGTACTTTCTTGCTTAGACTTCATTTCTTTTTCTTTTTTTTGAGACAGGGTCTCACTATGTAGTTGGGACTGAACTGGAACTCACTATGTAGCCCAGGTTGGTCTTGAACTCCAAGTGATCCTCCTGCCTCAGCCTCCCAAGTGCTGGGATTACAGGCGTGCGCCACCACACCTGGCTTTTAGATTTCATTTCTTAAAGAAATTTTTCTTTTATTTCTAATTTTTTCTTGATTTCTGTCACTCCAGTTTTAGTTTAAGTTCTGATTTCTGATGTTTCTGTTGTATCTTCTTTAATGTCCTTGATATCATTTTGAAATAGTCTATTACAGTTTGTCTTTGGTACTTCTCTAGTATTCCTTTTTTTTGATCCTGGGGTCTGAACTCAGGACCTTGTACTTTTCGAGGCAGGCATGGTGCCACTGAGCCAAATCCCCAGCCCCCTTCTCTAGTATTGTTGTATTGTCTATAAGGATGTTATTCTGTACC